CACAGTATATATATATATATATATATATATATATGTATACCGTCGCGAAGCGACGGAGGTGAATGAGGAGAGAAAAGTGGGTAATTTCCTGCGAAAAATAACGTCGCGCGGTGCCCACGAATAAGGTAGGCGCCGCGAGGAGGAAGTTCTGATTGCCGCCGCCCCGCTGTTTCTTCGACAGTGACGAATGACGGACGAAGGCGCTCGTTTTGTATTAATAATCGCACGCTCGCGCTCGCGCCTCAGACACAATACTCTTCCACGGAAAGTAGACGGATACACGTTATCGTTGAGTATTATCGAGCGTGTGGAAAATAAGCCGGAGCTGCTCGGAAGGGAAGGATAAATCATGATAGTGAAAATTATATGCGAAATACTTGTTCGATCGAGCCCCTCCGACAAAAAAGAACGACGAATTTAGATTATCTCGCTATTTTAAATCAACGTGCAATTTTTTCGCGCGCATTAGCGTAATCGATATCGACGCGCGCGCCGAGAAGCGAACAATCGCTCTTCGCTTTTTACGCAAATTTCATATTACATCGTCCATTGTCTCGGCAGCGGAAAGAAGTATCAATTCGCCGTGAAACAATCGCATTGCCAGCAACAATGCTAACGCGGAAGTGCGATTCTCCGTTGCGAGCACTTCGGTAAAATCGCGCGACCCGTACCGTACTTGCGCCAACAATAAGTTCATTCAGTATGCAAGAGTTAGCGGCTGAGACCAGGTCGGGGCGAGGGGGAGATGGGCTAATGCAATATCTCCGATGCGAAACACCCGGCTCTCGCTGTCGGTCCTGCCGCGCGTTTCACGCTACGGCGACGGCGTTATTCTGGCCGACACGCTTTTCCCGGCCCGATATATTCGGCACATCCAAATACGCGACGCTCCTTTCTCTCTCTTCCTCTCTCTCTCTCTTTCTCCCTCGCCGCGCAACCGGCGCAATACTCTAATCGTTACACTGATTCGCGCTTTTCAGGCCGAGCAGCAAACCACGGCCGTATCTCGTTTATTTGTTTCATTCAATCGTATTCTCGTTTCTCGTTACGCGCGCTCCCTCCCGCCGCCGATGTATTTCCTCCTCCGCGCTTCGTTATCGCCGGCCCCATCCCCGTAATTTATATTTCTGTTATTATTGGAAAAGTTCTCCACCCCGGGGTTCTCCCGATGAAAATTTATTTCCGCGCGAGGCGCGCGGCTCGTTCTTCGCCATCGATTCGACCCGCTCTCTCTAGCGAAACTTCTGTACTACGGGCCGTGCATCATTGTCGCATTAATCTCGGCACTCGCACTCGCGCCGACACTAACGCCGACGTCACTGACAGCCGCCGACGCTGTCACGATGTGACACGTATTCTCATTAGATCGTCAATGCGGCGACACTGCCGTTTTCAGGAGTGTTGAGGAG